GTTCTGAGCGAACGGAACGTTTGGGCAACTAGGAAAGTTTAGTTATCGATCCGACGTTTTGAACGAACGCTAGCGTATGCCAGCGAACGCTCAATACGTTGGATTGACACCTACTTCTCCCTGGCCGCTAAATGCGCTCAAAAAGCAGGCGTACGCTGCGACACCGACGCAAATTATGTACCCACTCTAACAATAAGCAGTAACTAAACAGTACATATACTACGACATATGTCTTTATCTTTTCCAGACTGATATTAGGCTCCCCTCTCTTCTCTTTGTTATACCAGCACTCTGATCGTTAAGAGCGCGTTCAGTTTCGCGATCGCACGATCCAGTTTGCGCGAACTGGATCGTGCGATCGCGAAGTCTGAACGCGCTCTAACAGTTGTTTCATGGCTGTTCGCTATAGCGCGTCCTATTGATGCATTGAAAACTGAATTAATAAACGAATAAATATAACAAGGAAATAGATGTAGATGTATAGCGTAGTTCGCTGCGGACGGTTGGGCGTGTCAGGCGGGATGAGTTTGGCGCGGTGCCAAACCCGTTCTCCAGTTGTTAAAGCGAGCAAATGATATGACTGTATCATATCGTTCGTATTACTCGTTTTCTACCACTTTTTGTCGCATGCGCGCTTCAACAAGAAGGCAGAGAACGGCTTTGAGGGGTGACACACTCATTTTGCCTGAAACGCCCAACCGTCCGCAGCGGGTTAGAGTGTAAGAAGGTGATGAACACATTCCTTACCTAGGTGATCTCCAAACTCAGCTCGATGAAGGGGGATAGTGACAGTGGGCGGGAGCATCGGCATTGTACCTGTTTTGCAAACACTCTATGGAACACTTGGAACAATTTCAGAAAACTTCCCATAGCAGGGGTGTAAGTAATGATCAGACTGAGCTGAGCATCATAAAAGCGTTCGGAACAAAACTGTTAAGTAATTTATTACCTAAACAATATTTACATCATAAAACCTAAACCTATACAATATACGAAAGGCAAAGCATCATGTCATTATGCAGAACGATGTGTCATAGATCGAGATTCAATCTTAAAGTATACTGTCATTCACGAATAAGTTAGTAACCGGTTTTACTGCTCTTTTTTTAATGCGACTTGCGCGATATTTGTACAAAGAGATTGAGCTAAACTAGACGCACACCGTCAGACGTGTAGAGGCAACCATCGCGAGAACAAGGCAAAGGAGATGAGAACAAAATCGATAAAGCAACGCATAGAAACAAAAATATAAATGGGCATTCTTGGCTAATTTTATAGATTCATAGGATTAAAACATGAGAAAAACGTGCTCAAATTAACCGTAAAGCCGGAATCAATATATGAACTGTCTTATGTAAAGAAGTATATGTTGAAACACTTACACTGCATAGAAAAAGAATAGTAACATAGCACTTGAGTTCCCCGTAACGAATCAGGAAAAATCTGCAACTTCATGGTTCGTATAGTCTCGGCAACCAGGAAGGCGGCTGCTTGGACTGGATGCAGGCTTATTTGTTGATAGACCGACGAGTAGAACGAAAAGCACTAGCAGGGTGAAAGCCAATGCCCTTGTGCTCTGCAGAGTAGTGCTCATTCTTTACCAGCGCGGAGAATCCGCTAGCTTGAAGACTGCGCGATTCAATGGTGGGCAGCATCAGTCGGTCCTCTCCCACTCCTCTACTGTGTATTCTTTTAATTGATACCAAGCCGCCCATTCTCCCGCATCGCAAATTCTCCACATTCTCAAAGTATGAACGCGCATAAGAGAGTCATCGACTTCACCACCGGTGCCCCCTTGATGATCGACTTGCCTGGGCTCCATACATCTCCGTTCATCCCTGCAGTTTGCTAGAGTACTCAAGCGGGTTCCCGGTCCCTAGTGATGACCGACACCCATGTAAATTCTACGAAGAAAACTACCGCAAACCTTCTATACAATTCGGACTAACCGCAAAATTAACAGCCCACCACAGCCATACCACCCTCTTTCCGCCTAGTGCTCACATTTTCCAACATGTACCTTACCGTAGAATGTGGGGATGTGTTCATACTTTGCGGCAGCGTCTACCAGTGACCAACAGCGTTTCGAGCGTCCGTCAGAGCCAGCGATTGGGAAAGTGTAGTTATCGACCTAGTCCACTAGCAACCAGGAGTGGAGAGTACAGGGAAGGAGTACGATAGCAGGCTGCTGGTAGAATATATAGAAGTGCGAGGGAGCAGTCTGCTGATAGAGTATGGGGAGGAAAAGAGTGCTGGTCGAGTATGGGGAAGTAGGAGGGAGCAGAGTGCTGGATTAGGCGTCGTGAAGCGCGTGCAACCGCACCGTGCAATTACTAAAGAACAGACATGCAATTTAATGTACGGTTGAACACAGCACTAGTTCTCGACACCTAAATCAACTACCTGCTTCCTCCTACCCCATTCTACCAGCAGCAGTATAGTGTGGTGGCACACACCACAATTTCACGACGCCTAAATCGGCTGTCTGACACTCGACCAGCGGTCTGCTATCATCTTACTCCCCCATACTCTGCAGTCCTGGACGCTGGTGGAGGCTGATGCTTGGTAGATCGAAAACTTTCCTAATCGCTGGTGGACGCTGCCGCAAAGTATGAACGTAGCCTGATGCAGTCCGCATCACCTTGGGTGACTGTGGACCTAACTACCTAACCAGCACGAATCACATGAAATCAGGGGAACGTAGTAACGTAAAGAGAAAATAATTCGCGAAGGAAGGAATATTAGCGATCCATATAATACCCAGCAATTTCCTAAAAGTTACATCACTGGCACAAACCTGCCCGTGAAAAGGGGCAAAAGGGACTGACTCTCAATTGACAGCCGAGATATTAGTTCATATTAACAACCGAATAATAATAATAATATTAAAAATAATAACAGATTGACTTCATAAAAACAACAAAAATACAAACTTTCACTTTCTCGTCACACAGAAGTCACAGGGCCAATCTCAGCAGCAACGGCTAAGGCGTGCTCTGCATTAGTGACCAAATCCTTACGGTCATTAGCTCGTGTTGTTCCACCCATAATTGGAGCCATTTTACGAGTAAATTCAACGTAGTTCTTTTGTAGCTCAGTCTGAAAGTCTGACGTTATGCTCTACACGTTTAGTTCCATAAAAGTCTTGGACAACGTAAAAGAAAGGTCAAATTTCGCTGCACTGAATCTATGCATCCCTTAGATTGCGTTCATACTTTTCACGAGCGTTCACGTTTCCTGGACGAAAAGAAAAGTGTAGGTACCGATCTGCCGTCTGGGAAAAAAACGTCAACCCTTTGAGAGTAACACCAACGTTTCGAGAGCCTAGGGCGAAAAGAAAACTATAGGTATCGACCTGATCGTGCGAAACACTCAAAACCCTGGCGGTTTGCTCAGAACGCTAGATCGATAACAACACACTCCTTTTCGCTATGATGGCGTTTCTCTCAAAACGGCAGATCAATACCCACACTTTCTTTTACGCCTGAAACGCTTGAAATGGCGACGAAAAGTATGAACACAGCCTAACAAATTGATTTTCCGACTACCAAGTGGAAGTTGGTGAAATTAGTTTCTATTAGTCCCAGCGGATTCTCCACTTCCTCGATTCTCCAGATCGGGTCAATCTATGTATAAACAAAATCGTAGTATTCGGGCAAATCCACACCTAATTGAACACATAAAATGACTGGAACCTTCCCGAGTAAACGTACCTGATAAGCCAACTGATCAGGGAGTATAAGTTGCTTGTTCAGCACGAGTGCATCAGCGCATTTCTTCGAGAAGTCATGGAAGCAAAGTCTCAACTTGTTTTGAAACTTATCGATTGGTTTCCCGTTTTCGTTTAACGCTATATCCGTCAAAAACACGTTAGCCACCTGGAAAGAATCTCAAAATTTGCTTCAGTAAGTCGGAATTCTGTTTCTGAAGGAGTACCACTCACCTGAATTGCTGGTTCAGTCCTCCCCCCCCCCCCCCGTCACAGTCGTACCAATACATCCCTGCAAAACCATCTGAAGCATTTTAGCATCCGGTGGATTTTGAGCAATGGCCGCAGACAACTCTCTGAAAAGAAGAAAACATCCAACATGACTTCAACACACTGCTGACAAATTCCCAGTCCGCTCTCCTCGTCCCGCCTGCGTAAAGAATACAACGTTAGGAACACTACTGCTGTATTTAGAAAAACTGTGAATTCCCATAGTTTCCTCTCTTACATCCTCGATGCCAACTGCTGGATTGGATCAGAACTTCTGCTTCCTCGGCTCCACAACTCGTATACGCGTCTTCACATACGGACAAAAACTGAAAAGTTATACTTCGAGGAGCCAGCTACTCAGCCCACCCAAAAAAAAGCAAAGTTAAATGATTTATTAGTGCCTTACAGCCTTCACCAACGCATTGCTCCTAGTAGGCGGTGCAAGGAGAGGGGGGTGAGGGTAACAAAAAATTGTCAGGATCCTTTCGAGTTCGAACAGGGAAAATGTAATTACGAGCAACCAATCTTCTGCCGGGCATGTCGTCAAATTCGATATGGAATGAGATATGTAGTCAAAGTGCACGGTGCAACGATAAATTAGGCGGACTCGCGGGTCTTGAGACTTGTTGCGGCGGTATACGGTAAGTTACTGGTAGATAGGCGGAGCCTTATCTCCCCTTTTAATTATTCGCCTTGGCGGTAGTGTGACCTCATTAAGGCCCATGAAGGGCGACTGCCGACCTCAGCGGCTCTAATGTTGAAATTAACATTGAGCCTAAAGCCATGTAAATAAAACACTTTATACGTCTTAAATATTTATTTATAATTATCGTTTATTATTAGGTTGTCCGGAAAGGTTCTCAGCGTTTTGGGGGGGTTTTGTTTACTTTAACACGATTCGTAACTTTTAATACTTCATCGGACTTTATAATCGAAATTAGGCACCATTCGAAATCCCACACTTTTGCCATAGGACAGTGATATCATCAAAGTAAATAAACTGGGTGGTTCGAAAAATTCACGAATCCATTAGGGCTTCTTTTGCTAGCCCTTGATCTCAGCTAGCACATCCTCTGTACAGAATTCTTGCGCTTATTCTGATGCGTAATTTGCCGTTTCACCATTGCTTGATAAACCCCCTTTTTTCAAGATTTTTTCAAGCATGTGAAAAGAGCACTTCGGACGATTTTTTTCTTCGACTATAAATTGGGGCAATCCGCAATCGAAACAGCTCAACAAATTAACCAGGTGTGGGGCCCAATAGTGCTAGAGAAAGCGCACTGTGCGGCAAGTGGCTCAACAAATTTCGTTTCTGGAGATTTCAACTTGAAGATGAACCTCATAGCGGTCGACCTAAAGCAATATCTGACGAGGATTTTAGGGAGATTTTGGAGGGTGACCCATCCCAAACAGTTCGAGAGATTGCAGAAAAGCTAGGCGTTGGCAAATCCACTGTTGCAGATGGTCTGGAACGCATTGGAAGGTGAAAATGGTGACAATTGGGTGCCCACAATCGGAGTGACCGGCAGGAATCGGCACGTCTCGAGGTTCCTTCTGCATTGCTTTTGCGCAGCAGAAACGACCTGTTTTTGGGCCGAATTGTCACCTGTGATGAAAAATGGGTCATGTATGATAACAGGAGACGTTCGGACAGTGGTTGGATTTCGACGAACACCGAGTAATTTTAAAGCCGAACCCTCACGAAAAAAAATTCTGGTCACGGCTTGGTGGTCATCGGCTGGTGTGGTCCACTATAACTTTTTACCACCAGCCAAACCATCACAGTAGAACCCTACTGTGAAGAAATCGACGAATTGTACCGAAAAATGCGTCAGCTGCAGCCAGCACTAACAGAAAGGGTCCGATTCTTCTGCATGACAACGCCCACCCACACGTTTCACAAGTCACCATCCATAAATTGAACGAATTGGGGGTTGAAAGTCTACGAAGTTCTACCATCGACCGCCATAGATCTTCAGGCCTTTCGCCAATCGACTATCACCTTTTCTAACATTTTCAGAACTTCCTTGCTGGAAAATACTTCATCAGTCAGGACCAAGCAAAAAAGCCTTCGTGGATTCTCGACCACCCAGTTTTTTACTTTGATGGGATTTCTCGACTGCTGTCACATTGGCAAAAGTGTGCTGATTCGAATGGTGCCTATTTCGATTAAATTCGATGTATTAAAAATTACGATCGTGCATTTAAGTCTTCAGTCTCAATATTGGATCAATTAGAGCCGCTGAGTCAGTTCAGTTCGGCCTCATGCAACTTAATGAGGTCACACCCCAGGCGAGACAGCAGTCGCCGCATGCAACTTAATGAGGTCACACCCCAGGCGATAATTAAAAGGGCGAGATAGGCTCCGCCCTATTCTACAGTAAACTTACCGTATACCCGCCCAACAATATCTGCATACGGGAGTCCGGCCTAAATTTACGTTTGCACCGTGCACTCTGCACCATTATCCCCTATTCATAGTTCCGGGAATGACATTGCTCCAGAATGGTTGCCTCGTAATTTAATTTGCCCGCCGTGGCCCAACGGGCATGGAGGTATACGTCTCAGCGATGGTTTGGCTTGTCAGAGCGAGGAGGATCTGCAGGAGGTGGGATAAAATCCGGATTGGTGATTCGTGTGATATGGATCACCGTCTTATATGCAATAATTAATCAGGGCGATTCCTGTCCCAAAGATGTCAGGGGAATACCCAACGCACAGGATGTAGGATCGGAGTAGTTCGGCGAAGGGGCGGGGAAGGGAGGCATTTATCACTTATGCTTCTTTTTCTCAACCAATTGGTCCACCCATCTAGAAAACCTTTTCTTGAGTTGACAGATTTTACCATGGTGGCTCGACGAACTTGCTCCAGGTTCACGACAGCTCACAGGTTTGACCAGAAGTTGCAGACTTGTAAACCTTGAACTAGTGCGGAGCGAGAGAAGTGCAAAAGCGCCCCCCCCACCTCCCTGCTTTCCCCTCCCCTCGTCGCCTGTGTATCGTCCAGGGGTCAAACCAGCAAAAAAGGTATTGTTGGAAATAGAAAGAAGTCACGGAGAAAGGTGATTTCGCGATGGCGTTTAATTGATTAGTTCATTGAAAAAGTGCTTTTGCTTTTGCTGTCGGCTTCTTCTCCATTATAAGGACAAAAAAATGACAAGAATAATACATGTGAAAACCAAAAGTAAATAAAAGTATAGGAAGACAAACTGATTCTTGAAATGTTACCCCCTAATTTCAACATATGAACGCGAGAGATAACTGTAACGTGTACCTATGCTGGCGTAGATTTTCTTGTCAGAATGGTCCGCCTCTATGGATTGACTCTTGCAGAGTTCACCATGGGAGCCTTCCCATCCCTGCGTAAACGGTTCGGTGTGGCATTATCATGAATCTAAATGCAAAGTAAAAAACGGCATAAAATATATTCTAAGGTGTATCTACCATTGCCTTTAAACAATGCAAATAAGGTGGAGGTGGAAAATGAAATGTCAGCTCACCCATAGATTCAGACGGGAATCAAAGTTTCAAATCGATCCAGAAGTCGAGATCAAAATACCTTTTGATTTTGTGACTGCGTTCGAAAGGCGTCGGTCGCCGCCGTCTCTCCCACTTCTCAAAATACGGTTCCACATACGTTATTTGCAAATAAGCTTTGGATGATTGAAGAGATGCTCTAATCACCTAAATGGTACTGCTAATAGAAAACGTAATCTCCTTGTTTATAAACAAATGGCCGTTCACTTATTGCCATTTCCTGGACAAACGTTCGAAGTAACAGACAGACGTAGGGTCATGGGAAGCATAATAGCAAACGTTTGCTAATAATGGACAACTCACGTTATTGGAATCCTTTATGACTTCCACGATATCTTTGCCGAAACGATCCGTATAGAACGATTCCAAACGATGGCTGATTTCCGAGAGTTTAGTAAATGGTGGTTCCTTGAAGAGAAAAATATGACAAAACTATCAAAGATCATACAGACTCTAGCGGAAATACAGTCTCCCACGCTGCGGATGCTAGGGCGTCCCTGTGGAAGGGCCGCGTTAGAGGCAGCCCAGCCAGTTTTCCCCTAGTTGTGGTGGCCTGTCAGTTCCTACAATAGGTGAAAAAGGACTAGCGTTGCGCAAAACCCAGCCTCCAAGCTTTCTTAGCGAACAAGACTGTACTGATTTCCAACGAAATTTGCAGAGAAGCCTCAAATGAATGTATCATTCATCCAAACACCGTCGGTTGCTCCTCCTCTATCCTGCCCTCGGCTAAAAACTCAATCATTCCCGCTCATAGAATGAGCATTGCCTGCCTTTTGATGAGATAGCATCCGCTTGAAAGATTAAAAATAATGAAATATAGATTGGTTCCAACGGAAAATCCTTGGGGAACGTCAATACGGTCACGCGAGCGGGGAACAAGAACGCATATTATGGAGAAGTTCTGGAATCAAGAGTAGAATTAAAAATAGGGAAGTAGACAACAGGCTTCAATTCAAAAGTACAGTCTCCAGAAAAGAACATCGGAATCGCTAACAGTGAATTAAGTTACAAATCCCATTGATTTAACACTGTCACCAAAGATTTAATATGCGACCAAAGCATTGAGTATTGTGCTTCCTTCCAGAAAGTGTGTGAATTGATGAGGCATTAATTCTACTGTCTACATGTACTCTCGCTCATCCAATCTCCAATCGGGACGAGAGCCATAGAAGCCACACACGACATATGTCCCAAACGCCGTTTGTCTGCCACAAAAATAAAATGTGCTTGGACTGGACTGAGTTCAAAGCCCGGAACCTCCTAGGTTTCAGCAAACTTATGGCTATTGGGTAGCGCTCTCAACAAAAGATTCGATCATTATCGCCGCGACATTGACGACACAGGAAACTGGGGTGATGCCTTCTTACTACCGATATCAAATTTCACTAGGGTGGTGCGTCAGGTCGAAAGTGGCCGATGTTGTATGAGTGAGACTAGAACGATACGAAGTTTTTCAGAGCTGTTCAATATGCTGGATTCAAATTTGCAAGCACTTGTCAACCGGGAAGTTTGACGGGTGTTTTGGCTGAAGGGCGCGGCGTCCCGGCGGCAAGTTAAGCCCAGCCAGCGCGGAATGAGTAACCGGGATGTCAGCGGCATCATACCATCGCGGCCGGTCGGCAAGAGGTAGAGTTAGGGTCATGGCAACGATGAAGGTTCGGTCCGCGAAGGCAGCTGCTGGTTCCCGGTTTGCATTCCGATAGGAGGCATGCAGTCCTACGACTATGACCTTAAGCGGCTTCAAGCGTTGATGTGCCACGATTTTACTGGGGGCTGGAGCGTCGTGTGATATATTGTATAGTTTGAGGAATTACATTCTTCAAATCTCACGGTAATCGGCTATGCAAAATGGACTCCTTCACACTTCATTGAGAATATGGATATCGCTGTTGGACAGAAATATCTCTATAGCTGCGAACAGTACTGCTTCCCCTTGACTGGTAAGTTCCCCACGCTTGCACGTCATTCGCAACCTGTAGCATTGATCCGGGAGCCATTTGATCTATTCATAATGAATGTAGATCACACTGTCACCCAGCCCGTTGAAAATGTCTCGGAATTGCCAAAGACACTAGTCTTCGGGATCCGAACCATTCATCGGTGTGCCCGATGACCTGTACTTTACTCTGTGCCCCCCGCCGGTTGGATGAGGCCCGAGTGATCCCGGGCTTATCTGCGCCGTGGGCTGGCACTGCCGCCGACCCGCGCCGCTTCAGCCAAACGACCCGTCATAACTCCGTTCACAGAATCGCTTTGCAAATTTGGAATGCAGATTTGAAATCAGCGTCTGATATCGTTAGTGGTTTAAGGTCTCTTTAATCGGCACTTTCGACTGACGCCTCCTAGTCAGCACTTCTGCGTCTGCGCGCTCGCTCTAGCAACTGTCTCCCTCCCTTATTAGACTTCGTTGATTCAGCTATTCATGGGTGAGGTGCGGAGCTTTTTGGCGGTCTGGAGCTTGACAAAGTAGTATTACACTTTAGTGCGCTGCAGGCGGTTGGGCGTGCGGCGTATGAGTGTTCACCCCTGTCGGAAGTCCCGTTTTCTTGCTTCTTGTTGACCACGCGCGATGACAAAAGTAGTAGACAACCGAGGTAATAGAGGTTGTTACCAGTTTGTTGCATTTGGCGCTTCAAAACCATAGAGAACGATTTGCAGGCGCCAACGCCAGCCAGTGACCGCCCCGTCGCAGGAGAACTCAGTAGCAATGAGGTTGTTGCAATTTAGCAATAATTCATGGGAATAAGGAAATCAATCAACGAAAAAAAAGAAAGCATCACGAGAAATACACGCACTTCATCAAGGGTGACGTCCAAATATCGGCTGCATCCTCCAACACAGGAATAGTCGGCTCGATACGTGCCAAAGCGTCACTGAGACGTGCATAAATTGTTGACAACCGACGGTAGTCACGCCACTCACGTATAATTGGCTCAACAATCTAGAATCAACACCAGAATACTATGGTTAAGAGATTCTGCGAAAACCAGGGGTCAGATCAAAAAGCTGTCAAGAAATGGAAAAAAATGCCAAAACAACTAACACGGAACACATCTGGCATCATTTCATACATATGAGCTTTTTCGAAGAACGCTGCACATTTTTCGACGAGAATTACCAGGCCAGCTGCTGTGAAATGTCGCGATTCACAAATCCCCTCAACGTCGGGACTGAAATGGCTCAAATGTTATCGAAACACTGAAGAAACTATTGCAACAAATGAATTGTAGCACCCACCTCAGAACATCGCCACCCACGGCTCTTTCCTCCAGAATATTATCGCTAATCTTTTCGAAATCGACCGCTCCTCTTGGCATGTACTCGTCAGATGTTGTCATGGCTAAAAATGTTGCTATTCCGCGAACAAGGAAACTTCAATACTAGGTACATGAATTCTTCTTTTAAACGTTGGTTTATTATAGAAGTTTTTTTGGCTATCAGACCGTGCCGTAGTCCAATAGGCTCGTTTGCAAAATGCAACGCTCACTCAAAACTTTCTCCCTCTGGTACGACCTCCTCCCCCATTCATCACTCTACTTACACTTTTCTACATCCTCGTTAAATCACTTTTTCGTGGAAATTCCGGTTTTTTTTCGAAAAAACTGCCGTAGAATGGAGATGGGAGCGGGGGTGTAGCGTCACTAACTCCCGAAATGGATGAGAAACCAAGAAAAGTCAGCCTGGAAACATTTTTCTCAATAGCAAATACGACCTGCCCCCTCCTGCTGCCAATATGACTTCCCTTGCTGAGGATCTCCAACCCACGGCGTGCCCTGATTCGAGCAATCGTTTGGTACATTGAATTTTTGCAGTTTTCTTATTTAGCTATGTTCCCAATGGGCGCACTGGACCGCACATACATATGTATGAATGGAGAGTAAGTGTG